AGAGAGAGAGAGAGAGAGAGAGAGAGAGAGAGAGAGAGAGAGAGGAGGAGGAGGAGGAGGAGGAGGAGGAAGAAGAACTCATTCGGAAGGAACTGAAGCGAGAGGACGGATAGTTGTTAATTTGACGCTGTACGAGTCTTAATATTGCGTTATTGAAATTCTCTCATTATTTCAGGCCAAAACGCTGGATTAGCCTAGTGAACGAACCCGGTAAAACGCTAAATTATTGCTCTATTATTCATGACTTCGCAGTACAACTTTCAGATTGCTGCATGTATCCGATCTTTTCACTTCTCTGTGTTGCAGTAAATGCTTTGTTTAAAGTCAGTGAATCTTGAACTAGTTAATCAAACAGTGATTAAGATATACTTGGTACATTAACTTAAATAGAAATAACATTAACGTCTCAAAAAACGAAATCATTTTAATACTAAAATGCATGTTTTTTTCCCTCCACAGAGCTCTCAGAATGGAATATATATTTATACTGATCCTTTTTGAATTGTGCATCAACACTGAAGTTGTGAAGTGCACGGTGTGTTCCGTTAATGGCCATGGCCTATGGCTTCTGCATAGGTGGAGGTCTTCATCATGTGCCAGAGCTGCCCAAGCATGTCAATTATGTGGATCTGAGTTTAAACAGCATTGCTGAACTCAACGAAACATCCTTTTCTCATCTCGAATGTCTAAAAGGCCTTAAAGTGGAGCAACAAACACCAGGACTTGTGATCAGAAACAACACATTTAGAAGACTCTCCAATCTAATATTACTTAAACTAGACTACAACTGCTTCCTGCAAACAGAAACAGGGGCTTTTAATGGATTATCCAACCTTGAGAATCTCACTCTCACTTAGTGCAGTTTAGATGGTTCTGTTTTGTCTGGTGACGTCTTTAAACCTCTGGTGTCTCTACAGATGCTTGTCTTACGCAATAACAACATTCACAGAATCCAGCCGGCATCATTCTTTTTAAATATGAGGAGATTCCACGTTCTGGATCTGTCTCACAACAAAGTGAAGAGCATCTGTGAAGAAGACCTCCTCAGCTTTCAGGGTAAACATTTCACGCTCCTGACCCTTGCCTCCGTGACACTGCAAGACATGAATGAGTACTGGTTAGGATGGGACAAGTGTGGAAACCCGTTTAAGAACATGTCCGTAATGGTATTGGACCTATCTGGAAATGGCTTTAAAGTTCCTATGACAAAGCGTTTTTTTGATGCAATCATTATTTAAGGTCTCATTCTCAGTAAGAGTTACAACATTGGCAGTTCTTTTGGTCATAACAATTTCCCAGATCCAGACAAATTCACATTCAAGGGTCTTGAGGTTAGTGGTGTTAAGATTTTCGATTTGTCCCAATCACATATTTTTGCTTTGTCCAATTCAGTATTTAGTCTTTTTTTTTTTTTTTTTAGATCTAGAGCAAATTACGTTGGCACAAAATGAGATCAACATTATTGAAAACGATGCATTTTTGGGTATGACTAATCTACAAAAGCTAAACCTGTCCAACAACTTCCTGGGTAGTATTGATTCCAGTGGGGGCTCGTCGGGGGAGGCAGGGGAGGCACAGCTTCCCCATAATTTTTAGGTGAAAATTACGATTTAATGTTAATAAAATTCACAATTCATTTCAGTTCATGTCTCAGAATGTGTATTTTTTGTTTGTAATTACACAGTGATAATACATAACTTGAAAGCGCCGCTTTTCTATTGCGAATGTGCCGAATCTGCTGATGTAATTACAACCGCTAATGATAGAGAAGGGTAGGGGGAGGCCAGGGCAGAGCTGAGCTCTAGTGCCTCCGAGGGTAAAAAAAATTAGCCAATCACCATCGAGTGTTCACTTTCAGCGCCGCTGAGGAGTGTTGAGAAAAGAACCCTCGTAGAGGGTTAGTTTGAACGTCTGCCGCTGCGCTGATAATGTACCAAGTACTTATGATGAGTAGCGATATTGAATATTTGATCGCCAACAGATTTACCAAGCTGTCATTCAAACAGTATATATACAAATTTAGGGAAAACAGCCTAAGCTGGATATAGGCTACAGCAGTCAGCTTAATTAAATGGCACAACAGCCAGCTCTCTTTTAACACAGACTTTTAAGAAGGGATGGATGTTTGCTTCAAGTGATAGGCCAGGTAAGTGAAATTATATTATCTTGCTGTATGTGTGTCATTTTCTTTACGTGTTCTGACTAAAAGCAACCAAAAAGCCATTTTAAAGTGGGTAAGCAAATTATAATAATAATAATCGGCAGGGATCGCAGACCAATACAATTAGTGTGCCTCCTCTATTTTAAAACCCAGGCACCGCCACTGATTGATTCTAAAACATTTCAGAATCTAGAGAAACTTGAGGTGCTTGATTTGTCTTACAACTATATAAGGATATAAAGATATATCAATCATTTCAGGGACTCCCAAATTTACTCAACTTAAATCTAACAGGAAATGCTCTGGAATCAGTTCATGAATTTGCAACCCTAGCAAACCTGAAGAAACTCTACTTGGGTGAGAACAGAATTTCATCTTTGTCTATTTTACCCAACATTTCTAAAAAATCTCACGACCCTTGACCTGGAATTCAACAGATTGAAGGACTTGTCAGATTTGTACACTATACTACGGGAATTTTCTCAAATAGAAAAAACCTTTCTTCGAGGCAACATGTTTTCGATGTGTCATAATCAGAGACAAATAGTGGTTTCAGACAAACTACAACTCCTTAATCTCGAGCTTTCAACAATGCAACTGATCTGGTCAGAAGGAAAATGTCTTGATGTGTTTAACAATCTTCACCAGTTAGAACAGCTTTCTCTGGCTTCCAACGGACTTCAGTCGCTTCCCAAAGACATTTTCAAAGACCTTACTTCTTTGATCTTTTTGGATTTGTCCTTCAACTCTTTGAAGCACCTTCCGAATGGTATATTCCCTGAAAGTCTTCAGATACTTAAATCAGGTCTCTTTAGCACCCTCAGCTACCTCAGCCTGATGAAAAACCAGTTCCATTGTGACTGCAGCCTAAGGGATTTCCAAACATGGCTAAATCAAACCAGCGTAACCCTTTTTCACTCCATTGAGGATGTGACATGTGCCAGTCCTGAGGATCAGTACATGGTTCCGGTTGTGAGATCCGGCATACAATGTGAGGATGAGTGAAGCGCTGAAAACTGAGGCTTGTGCTTTTCATTTTCTGTTCTGCACTGATCATATCACTCACTGCCTGTGCCATCATTTGTCTGTTGACGGGGCTACCTATCCTGATCGATTCTTGTATGACGTGTATCTTTGTTTTAGTTCCAGTGATATTAAGTGGGTAGAAAGAGCGCTGTTGAAGAGGCTCGACTCTCAGTTCTCAGAGCAGAATACACTACGCTGCTGCTTTGAGGAGCGAGACTTCATACCCGGGGAACACCATCTTACCAACATGCGAAATGCTATCCAGAATAGTCAAAAAAAAAAACCTTTGTGTGGTGTCTGAATGTTTCCTGAAGAATGGTTGGTGCTTAGAAACCTTCACCCTGGCTCAGTGCAGGATGCTCGAAGGAGGTTGAAAACAATCCTGAAGCAGCACATGTTCATGCAGACACGGCCGTGTAACTGTGAAGGACTTTGTATGGACATACCTTTCTTTGCTCTTGGTGAGGTTCTCTCATCCATCCTACTGTGTTTAACCCGCTTAATAAATGAAGGCTATTAAGTTTGACACCATACTGAACTGTATATATATTTAAAAGTTTATTTTGTATCATCCAAAATGTGCAGTAGCATGAACTTCTCGGTCAATTGGTGTTAAAGTCAACGGAACTGTGACATTACAGATACATCTTTAATTAGATGAACAGATACCTGCATTAACTGTAATTGCTTTAAATAATGTGCATATTACATATGCAAACAGTACACCTTTTTAATTTTTATTTTCATGCCGTTTCACGATGGCACATTAAGTTGCATAAATCATACTGTGTGTTATAATTCACGTGTCCAAATATCTGTGGGACAATACTTGGTTTTTAAATAAAATGTGACTTTTAAAGATAATGTACTACAATTATTGCTGTTTGCATTGTTATTTGAAGAAACCTTGGCATACAGCAGATGGTTACTGCTAAAAAGTACAAATCAGAGAACAAATGTTGGAAACAATATATCATTTTTACAACTGGTACCAATTCTTTGAAATTCACCAAATTTTATGTTATATATTTAAATTATTATGATTAATAATATTATTATTACACCGGATAGCAGCCTTTATTGGTACACCCAATATTACCAAATAACACAGAAAATTTGTAAAAAAAAATAAAAAAAAGTGATTATCTTTCTATTAAAAAACAACAGAACAGATCCTAATTTCTCAGATGACAGATACACCGTACATGTCAAGGACACGTGACACTTAACAGAATACTTAATTCTGCATGTATTTCTTTTGTGTGAAGTCACATAAACTGACTCAATTTCCCCGAAGTCCTGATGCTAACGTAAATAATTGCACACTGCAGGAGGAAGTGGTTTTATCTGAGAAACTGGAAAAAAGCAGACAACTTTAAAACAAAGCACAATGAGTCTTTCAATTCACCATCACAGACATTTCTGAAGTTTGCATGTGAAATATTAAACTTTATAGGCGAAACATTCCAATCAGCATCAATGAAAAAAGTGCATGATTCAAATACATACACAACACATAAAATATATACAAGTTCATATGAAATGTGCAGGAAAATAATTCTGATTATGTTTTTCTATTCCCATGAAAAAGTGATGGCCTGTGGCCAGACATTAAAAAAATAATCTAAAACAGATGTCACGCAAATAATACAAGCCATTGGGTCAAAATAGTGTCCTCTTAAATCGGACAAAAGTTTTCCTTGACGTCATGTCACAATTCCCATGAACATAATGTCAAGAAACTCTTTCCTGTCAGGAAACAACCAGTTGCTTTTCTGTGCTAAATCTTAATATGGTAATACGTTCTGATATCGCGATCTAACGCTCTAATTTTAAATGTTAGCATAAACTCTCAGATGAGGCTTTTGAATGAATGGCAACAGTAGGCACAGTGGTTTTTGGCTTGTGCAACTCTACAGAATTGCACTTCGCTTTTACAGTCTTTTTAAAACGGTTAAATTTTTTGGGAGATACAGGCTCTGCCCTTTCATTATTGTCTTTGTTACTCGGATTGCATTTGACACTTTCTTCTGGTACCACTGGAATCGCGTCGCGAATCTCTCGACTGTCCTGCAGCAAAACGCAAGTGCCATTTACTTTTGTGTTTATATGGTTCCATGGTATTTTTTGAGGGGTCTGGGAATTTAATGCTAGGTCCCCTGTCTTCTGTGTATCGTGATTAACAGTACAGACTCGAGTCGTGTCAGGTAAAGCACAGCGCTGAACATCTGGAAACTGAATGTGAGCTGGAAAGTTCTGGCTCTCTGGTAGAGGTGAATTGGGGCCACACGCATTTATGTGGGACTCGTCATGCACTGCAGTATCGGACGACAGTGCCTGATGCAAAAGGTGCACTGCTTGCATGCTGTAGCCCCCGGGGAAACATCTGTGAGGGGTTGGCCTTGATGTTTGGCTCTGTGTGCAATGTTGGAAGTGGCCACAGTTTACGAAGCAGTCAGTGGGAGTGTGCGTTGTATCCCGTGAGGACTGAAGGTTCTGACCCACAGGTAAGTGATTGGTCTGTTTAGCAGGGCATTGGTTGCTGCAAGGATGGTAAGGAGTCCTTTGTCGCTCTCTCATATACTGATGCATGGAGTTCTCACAGGTGCACCTCGTACAATACGGGTATTGATGAAGATGTGAAAGTTCAGCTCCTGGTAAGCCATTTTCAATCTCAGGACTGGGTTCTCCTGGGTCGGTGCAGCTTTTCAAGGTTGAGTGATGAGAAGTGATGCCATTATGCAACTGCGTACATGCTCCCTGTTCCTCATCAGAAGCCTTTTCCTCATTCCTGACATTCAACGCCAAGGGCTCAAGCTCATAGTGTTCGTGTCGACCCTCACTTCTTGCGTTATCTATCTGGTACTTGCTTGTGTAGCAAGCACTGAGTTTACCTTGACTTGGATTAGATTGGTTTTCAGATGTGCGCTCTGAAAAGGCATAGCACTGGAGTTTCTTTGGCAAAGGAATCTGTCCACAGGTGCCCTGAGGTCCCAAACAGTGACACATGCATTGAAAGAAAAATGTAGCAAATGCCCAACTAATGCACATGATTAGCATCAGAAACGTGCCCAGTTGAGTGTAGGCCAAAACTGTGGATGGCATCATCATCGCACCGGCTACAAAGGTTGTGAGTGCTGCCATCGCTATAGCTGAGCCCATTCTGCTCAAGGAGAATACCACCTTTCCTTCCCTGTCTGGTTCTGGTGCAAGGCGATACGCCACTCCATAATGGACAGCAAAGTCCACAGAGAGGCCTACAGCAACTGAGATGGTCACTGATTCAAGCACATTTAGTTCCCAACCCAAGAGCACCAGCGACCCAACTGTGACAAATATGGTTCCGGCGATGGATATGATGGCATAGAGGCTGATGATGATATTCCAGGTGGTCAGGAGCATAACACTGAAGGCCACTACCACCGCCAGTGCCATAGCGATAAGAGTCCCATCCGATAGGCTGTCCTGTAGGTCGTAGAACTCCAGGTTGCTTACAAACCATCCGTAGCTCAGTCCTTCAGGAGCATCCCTCAGCTCCTCCTGAATCCAAGCGTCGACTTCTCTGTAAAACTGATGCATCTTCTCGTACGCCAGAGTGAAATGGTAGGTACTTCGAAACTCGAGCACAATTGCTTGAATTGTGTCATTGATGTCAAACCTTGGCCCTGGAGTCTTGCTGTCAAGGTGGTAGATGGTGCTTCGGTCAAGCTCCATAATTGCCCGTTTGATGCACAACTCAAAGACCTCTTGCCGGTAAGGGAACGTGGATTGACTACAACAGGGATAGACGGAAGCTTCTTCACAGTCTTGGTTTTCCATCCATTGCTTAAAAGTCTCCATGAAGCAGCTCGTGAAGTCTTGCTCCTCAGACTGGAACACGAAGCTCTGGTTCCTAAGCTTCTGGCAGAAGTTGAGAATCCATACCTGACTTGCAGGACTCGCAATGTTGAAGGTTGTGTCGAGTGTTAGTTTACCCTTATTTTTGGGGTTCAGCGGATCTCCATTGTCAACTGGAGTAACTCCCCAAATGATGGTGATTGGCATGTGGAGGTCTTCCCCATGGTTGACCCGTTCGAACATGAAGAGTTTTTTGTACTCCGCATCATAGCGTTCAAAGGGATGGGAAGAACGGAAAACCTGAAACTCCGACAGCTCCAGAGATGGCAGTTTCATTTTGGGATTGACGCAAACAACGTAGGCTCCACCCACCGTCATTGCCAAAAACCACAAGAGCCACAAGTAGCGCAACTTGATCACGATGCAAGGCAAAACTTTCTCAAAGAATATCCGAGAGGCCTCCGAGATGCTAAAAAGACACTTGTTGACCATCTGGCACAATCTTGTCCAGAACAGCGTAGCACCCTGCGTCTGGTGGTGTTGTGACAGAGAACATGTAAAGAGGTTGACCAGGTACCTTTCATGTAGGACCACCACAGCCGGCAACCAGGTGACCATCAGTATGTAGTTAACCAGGATAGCAGAACCAGCGTACACACCAAAGCATCGAATGGCAGTGATGTTGCTCACGTAGTTGGCATAGAAGGCAGCAGCCGTGGTGAAGCTGGTGACAAACATTGAAAGCGCCGCATGCTGAAGCGTCACGCTTACCGTTTCAGAAAGATCGGAATTAGGTTTATCAAACTTTGTGTAGTTCCAGACGTCGCAGAGCACAAAGGCATCATCGGCACCAATTCCAACAAGTATGATGAGCGCAGTGAGGTTCATAAAGGGGAAGAACTCAAAGTTGAAGACCACACGGTACAGGAAGTACGAGACGATGAGCGAACTGATAATGGCAAACATGGTCATAAGGGTGATGAACATTGATCTCGTGTAGATGCACATGACTACCAACACGATCACAATTGCTATTGCGGGATACATGGTATCTGTCAGAAGGTAGTCCTGAAATAAATTGTGTTTGATGCCAAATTCTATTCCTGTGATGGTCGTGATCCCATCCGAGGAGTTCCAGTTCTCAAAGTTGTCCAAGTAAATGTTCATCATTGTTTCTCCTTTCTCCGTCGGGGAGAAGAGCATGCTGTACTTGAGGTTAGGTGGAAGGTAGTCCGTGTTCTTTGGATTCAGAAAGTCTTTGTCCACCAAAAAGTGAAAAATCTGATATACGGCGTTGTATTTTGTACACTTCCGTGGCACGTTGCCACACTTGAGGTCCTTCTTACGGGTCGTCATGTCCCAGCACTCAGGACCAAGAGTGCCATTGTGGTAATACTTTGCACAGGAGCGCAGGATTTTTAGGGTGTGGGAAACATCTTGCTCTGTGATTTTTTGGCAGGATGACTTGTTAGTAAAGACGGCTATGTAGTTCCCAAGTGTCCAGCTGGGACAGCATGAGGCAGCAGTGGTGCGCTGACACAGATCCAAGTACTGGGGATGGGAGCGAATCTAAAGGACCAGACATGAAAAACGCAAGTAAAACACCCATTTCCGACATCCCATTATGCATCTGCAAATGGTATAATCAATATATGCAATGCAAGATACATACCCGAGTATTGTCAAAATTGCACATGGATTTTATTGCCTGTATATTCCACAAGTTCTTTCCCTCTGCAGATGCAAATACAATTCGGGAATAGCTGTCACCTGTGGAAAGACAACGTTTGGTGGTTAAACACTCACAGAAAAAAGGTACAAAAGCTGTCACTTGGGCGGTAACTTTTCAAAAGGAAAAAAATATGATACTTTAAGTTACTAATATGTACACTTTAGGTACTAAAATATGTACCTTCTTTAAGGTACTTATATGCACTCTTTAGGGGTAAATAAGGTACAGATGTATATACCTTCTGAAAGGTTACTGCCCCAGTGAAAGCTTTTGTACCTTTTTTTCTGAGAGTGAACTATAAGCCAGCAGCCTTTCTCCATGAGCCACTAGGTGGCAGATTTGATTAATGTCAACTCGTCTCACTTTAGTACTATGTATTTAATACATTTGTGCTTAATTTTGTCAGCATACTATCGACTCTAGAAGTAATACATTTGTTAATGCACACAAATTCAATTTTGAGCAGATAATTAGGTTAATGTTAAATGTAAACACAAACAGATGTCCTATAAATTATGTACAGAACATGCATAGAATACAAAATGTCAAAGTGTATATATATATATATATATATATATATATAGGTAAATTGGTAAATCTTGGTTCATATTCATTTTACATATAAAAAATTTTTACCATTAAAAGTTGTATAAATTAAGATTAACGTTATAAACAACCAGCAATAGTTTATAAATTTGCATTAACCAAGATTAATAAATGCTCTAAAATGTTTATTGTTATTTATTTTTTATAGAAATTTATACAAGGACACACCAAATTCAGGTTTGCCATCACAGGAATAAATTACATAATAACATACAATAAAATAGAAAACCATTCTTTTAAATGGACTGTTTTTACAGTATTTTTCAGAATACAGAACTCACCTGGTACATCACAGAAGAAACTGTCTTTACTAAAATCCCACTCCGCTTGTCTTTTCTTTCGATCATTACGATCCTTGGACCACCTGTCATCTTGGTGACTGAAACGCAGGATAAGGAGAGTATTTAATCAATGCATTTAACAGCTCTGCATGAAAAGCAAAATCATTAAACAAACAAAAAAAAATATTTGTTTAAAATAAAATATGCTATCTGCTCTGACTGTGGTCTATATACAATTGCTCTTTGTGTTGAAAGTTATCCAGCTAAAGCCTCAACTCCCTGTCACCCAAAACCACAATCTAGTGGTTCACGACTTGCAGTCTGATTCTTGTCGGATTTAGACAGCTTTAAGGAAACAAAAAACCTCACTAATTATTAATTCCAGAGCACACTGCAGCATACTATTTCAGCCTCCTCACATTGTTGCCATTAGAGATCTGCGACTGAAATGACCGTTATCATTATTACTGACAGAGGCCAGGACTGCTGCTGACAGCACATCCTGTTCCACAGACAGGAAGTCTCTTTAATCAGAGGGAAGACGCCTATGCACATGCTGAGACGGAGCCGTGCCTTACAGACGCTCATTCTCTCTCAGACTACTTCTGTCATGATCCGTAATCCAGCTCACAATGATCCGGATCAGATGAGTCATGATACAGCCAACACAGATCGCATTACCAACCACTGCTGTTCAGGAGCAAAAAATGCATATAAAGTGGCCCCAAAAAGAATCTGATTGTCATTGCATTCAATAACAAAATGACTTTATATTGAACATGTAAAAGCAAAAAGCTAAAAATGCAACCTAAATCAGTCTAATGTGCTGTCCATTGAGCAATGTGCATTTAAAGATGCATATTTGCAAATAAAATATAAATAGGTCATGTTCCCAGTTGCAAAACCAAAATCCCACAGACGCACCAATTTTGACCAATCCTGGCCTGACTCCTAATCCTCGCTTGGCTCACGTCACATATCATATGAATGCGAAAAGGAAAATATGGTTATCAGATAAGAAGTGGACTCTGATACCTTTTGGCCTGCTCGTCTGCGTATTTGAAGGGGTAGTTGGCCAGTGTTGCCTTGTAGCCTGTGTTTTTCACCATGTTGTTCCATGTTACAAGTCGCTGGCCTATTGCAGTGCCTCTCGGTTCAAATCCCTAATAAGAGAAATGACAACAAATCTTCACTCAAACTGCACACAAAATCAACATGAAAGTCTGAAAATGTCAATATCCTATAAAGAAGACCAAAAAAAGCTCCTTGTGCACACCTGCAGTGGATTTGAGAAGTCAGGCAGGTCGGGCACGAGGATACCGACCAGTGCACAAACCACGATGAGAACTGTACACACCCCTAACACCACCACCGGCCAATCAGCAATGAGCTCTGCATAACTGCAATTGAGGGAGATTCATACATCATATGCATATATATATATCACTGTATACTACATACTGTCCAGCCTCTTTATTGTACAAGCGCAAATCATGAAAAAAAAAAAACATTTTACATTATATTTATACATTTTACACATTTATTTTTTACATATTTTAATTTATAAAAAAATCTGTCTTAACAAATTCACATTTTTAAAACACGTTTTTATTAGTTAAACATTTTACATTAATTGAAATTGTAATGTACTGTAATATTGCAATATAATTTTTTTTAAGTAATATAATTACATACAAAAGTAAAAATGTCAATAAAAATATATTTTAAAAATGTATTTTATATAATGCTCACAATGTCATTTAAAATGAAAATTAAAAAAAAATATTTGTCTTAATTTTATTAGTTAATCGTTTTCCATTAATTGAAATTGTAATGTAATATATTGTAATATTGCAATATAATAATTTTTAAAAAATAATTTTAACTGATACTGTAAGCATTTTTATAGAATACAAAATAGAATTTAATATTTTTATTGTATAATGCTTACATTGTCATTAAAAATGAAAATTTTTGAAAAAATATTTTAGTCTGAGTTTTATATATATATATATATATATATATATATATAGAGAGAGAGAGAGAGAGAGAGAGATTGTTTTTTTGAAAGAAGTTTAAAAATTACATTATAATAATTAAATAAATAAATAAAAAATTGTAGTAAACTTACCTTTTGGGAAACCGGAAAGGCCTTGGAGGGCTGAAAGATAAAAGTACCATAAATCAGGATTAGATTTAAGTGCCAAACAGTGGATTAAAACTACCTGTGCAGAGAGACATGTTTTTTCATGAAAGTGTATTTTTAACCACACGCCGTATGTGGTCTAGATCTCTCTGTTCAAGCACACATTCCTGTGGGGAAATCACAGCTGTCTCCACGTTTCTTCTCGCTGCTTTTCCAAATCAAAACCATCATGGATGTTCATATTAGAGGCTCTGCTTTAGCACACCAAAACGGCATCACCATGCGCCCAATGCACAGCTGTTCACAATCAGCCGCCTTCATGCATTTGTGTAATATAAAGACGCATTAATGGCCTGTGCACACGCAGGTGCATTTTGAGAAAAGCACAAGTGGTGCAAGATGCTAAATACTCTAAATATAAGCAACAGTAATAATGACGCCACCGAAATTGTAATGTACTGTAATATTGCAATATAATTTTTTTTAAGTAATATAATTACATACAAAAGTAAAAATGTCAATAAAAATATATTTTAAAAATGTATTTTATATAATGCTCACAATGTCATTTAAAATGAAAATTAAAAAAAAATATTTGTCTTAATTTTATTAGTTAATCGTTTTCCATTAATTGAAATTGTAATGTAATATATTGTAATATTGCAATATAATAATTTTTAAAAAATAATTTTAACTGATACTGTAAGCATTTTTATAGAATACAAAATAGAATTTAATATTTTTATTGTATAATGCTTACATTGTCATTAAAAATGAAAATTTTTGAAAAAATATTTTAGTCTGAGTTTTATATATATATATATATATATATATATATATAGAGAGAGAGAGAGAGAGAGAGAGATTGTTTTTTTGAAAGAAGTTTAAAAATTACATTATAATAATTAAATAAATAAATAAAAAATTGTAGTAAACTTACCTTTTGGGAAACCGGAAAGGCCTTGGAGGGCTGAAAGATAAAAGTACCATAAATCAGGATTAGATTTAAGTGCCAAACAGTGGATTAAAACTACCTGTGCAGAGAGACATGTTTTTTCATGAAAGTGTATTTTTAACCACACGCCGTATGTGGTCTAGATCTCTCTGTTCAAGCACACATTCCTGTGGGGAAATCACAGCTGTCTCCACGTTTCTTCTCGCTGCTTTTCCAAATCAAAACCATCATGGATGTTCATATTAGAGGCTCTGCTTTAGCACACCAAAACGGCATCACCATGCGCCCAATGCACAGCTGTTCACAATCAGCCGCCTTCATGCATTTGTGTAATATAAAGACGCATTAATGGCCTGTGCACACGCAGGTGCATTTTGAGAAAAGCACAAGTGGTGCAAGATGCTAAATACTCTAAATATAAGCAACAGTAATAATGACGCCACCACTAATAACAAATCAGCAATCGTCGAAGAACCACAACGACAAGCAATATTGCTCTCTTCGAGGATGAGAGCAGTAGGGTCACAGGGCCAAGAGGTGGCTGTGATTTTCTTCCTTGTCGTCTTAAAAGGGAATCCATGGAATGCTATAATTAGTGGTTGCTATGGCACTGGGAGGCACAGATGAACAAAAGCCATTGGCAAGAATTTTTCACCACAGGGCGACTTCTAGAGAGGCCGTAAATCCCTTTGAAAGTTCAACGGACACGTTAATACAACAACCAGATGTTGCAAGCGCACAAGCTTTAAGCATCTGCATATTCGGCTCAAGGTGAGTCCCATTAGGCTTTAAAAACAGAGAGGTGCACGTCCTTCTCCGTGCAATCAGAGAAAAGTACATGCAGACAGCCGATAATCAAATAACCAAACCCAAAAGTAAATAACGAGGAGCAGATTTCCTCCACTTCATGTGCAAATGTAGCGAGGACGTGGGGGAAAAAACCAATGCAATGATTTATAAAGTGTGCTATCAGCGAACGCTCCATGTTTGGGCCACAGACTGTGGAATTCAGGGGCGTGAATGAGAGATGGTCCAAAATGGAATAACATTTATGAGATATCGCGATGGATTATTCCACTGGAGTGCAACAGTTCTTCAACACTATTTGGGAGTTTCCCCCCCGTGTGATTTGGAGATTATTTTTTCATATTTGGATGTGTGCAACTTTTGTTCTCTGGTTAGCCTGAAAAGAAAAAAATTTGTTCAGTATTTTAGTTTACGCTCTTAAAAATAAAGGTTTCTTGTTGGCATTGATGGTTCTACGAAGAACCTTTAACATCCACGGAATCTTTACATTCCACGAAAGGTTATTTATAGTGGAAAAAAGCTCTTTATTAAAATGTTCTTCACAGTAAGAAAAAATGGTTCTGAAAGGTTTTCTGGGGAAGCAAAAAAGGTTCTTCTCTTGCATTGCTGCAAAAACTATGGAAGGCTGTTTCCACCACGGAATAAAGAAATAATAAAGTGAATTGCCACTTTTTCCTCAGAACTCAGAGTTTATTTCTCGTGAGATAAGTTGTTGCAATTACCTTTTTATTTTATATAAACGGAATTGTGAGATGTAAACTCAGAATTATCAGAAAAAAAACTTTAGAATTGTGAGATATAAGTTCAGAACTGCGAGAAAGTCATAACTCGCAACTGACTTTTTTCCTGAGAAAAGTGGATTAACATTTGATGTGTTGTGATATGTAAACTTGCAACTACCTTTTATTTTATATAAACAGAATTGTGAGATATATAAACTCAGAATTCTCAGTAAACACATCAGAATTGAGATATACATTTAAAAAAGTCATAATTCTAAGTTTATCTCTCACAATTCTGATTTTTTTTCCCTGAGCATATTTGATTCAGTTCAGTATCTTTACTGTTAAATTGTTTTTGGTGTGCTCTGAAAAATGCGAAACTTACATTTTTAGCAATTCAATCTTCTCAAGCCATGTTTTTAGAATAGTGCATCCAAAATAACGGCAATTCTAAAACATCACAACCATGTCAATGCCATATTCTGCATTGCTCATTTTGTAGAGAAACTGTATTATTGTAAGAACTAACAAATGTTTATGGATCAAGAGGTTAATTAATAAAGAAAATACGAGGAAGTGGGGTCAAACAACAGTCTGGTGACGGTGAAACGGTAGTTGAAGGGCAGAGGTCAAAGAGGGGAGCAGGAAAAAAGCATGGAGGCTTAAAATAGAAAACAACAAAAAACATTGAAGTTCAGTCGAATACATTCACAACTGATTAAACTGTATGTGATAATCAACTGCCTGACTTTCTCAGCTGTTTAAGAGAAATCCAAGAAAAAAAATACTGTGAAATATTTAGATATGTACTGAATATAATCAAAGATTAAATGCAATTGATCAAAAGTGACAGTAAGGACATTTACAATGTTACAAAAGATTTCCATTTCAATTAAATGCTGCTTTTTTGAACTTTCAATTAATCAAAGAATCCTGGGCCCGTATTCACAAAACATTTCAGTTCTCCAAAACAGCAGTAAAAGTTTTTAGCCAAGAGTTTTCTCTTAAAACCTATTCACAAAGCTGCTGAGACAAACTTTTACTAAGGAATAGAGAGAAGTCTTAAAGGGATAGTTCACCCAAAAGTGAAAATTTGATGTTTATCTGCTTACCCGCAGGGCATCCAAGATGTAGGTGACTTTGCTTCTTCAGTAGAACACAAATTATGATTTTTAAGTCCAGCCGTTGCAGTCTATCAGTCATATAATGCATGGCAATGGTAACAAAATCTATGAGAGTAAAAAAAACATGCACAGACAAATCCAAATTAAACCCTGCGGCTCGTGACGAGCATTATATGACTGATAGACTGCAACGGCTGGACTTAAAAATCATAATTTGTGTTCTACTGAAGAAACAAAGTCACCTACATCTTGGATGCGCTGGGGGTAAGCAGATAAACATCAAATTTTCATTTTTGGGTGAACTATCCCTTTAAGCTAAGAGTAAGGGGGCGGGGTTGAGCTCGTTGCTATGGATGATGTCAGAGTGCTTATTAACTATGCACACAGTGATTGGCTGTTAGTCTCTGTCAGAGATTTATCCATGGAAATATTGTAGAGCACAATTTTATGTTGCCGTATTCAAATAAAGGTTTAAAAATGCAGGGTAAGTGTCACTAATTAAACAAGTATATGTTCAGCTTATTGTCAGCCTTACATGTATGCTTCTCAAAAACAATTAGTGGATATGCATATAAACAGCCTTTTAATTAACAGAGTAGAATAATCATGGCTGATAGTAAGACATGCAAACGTAAAAGAAAACCAAACTGGATGCAAGAACAGCTGTTACTTCTTGCCCAACTGGTTAATGAAAACAAGGATAT